CCTTCTCCTCTTCCGGGTAGTAAACAACCTCTGCTAAAAGCTGTGCCAAAAGCTGGCCTTGCCATTCTCGATTTCCATCTTCTCCCAAATCCTTGGCCAGTAATTCTTCACTTTCTAGCTCCCCAATGCCCTCAAGCAGACATTTTTATATTTTTCCCAGCTTTACTCATTGTCCTCTGAAGGACAGTGGATCTGAATTACCTAACCCAGCACTACTGGGAGCTAATATTCAGTAAGTGTTAGTTCTCTCCCCTTTCTGTCTGACCCCAAGCCTGGGTGATGTCACAGTTACTGCTGAACAAACCAAAGCAGAACACAAGACACAGAAGAGAGGAAGAAGTGCTGGAAAGCTTTAAGTGCATCTAGGCACTAAGACCAGGGCGGGCAGGCCTCACAGTCCTTGTCTAGCCCACCAGCTTCCCTTTGCTTTGCGTCCTTCCAAGAATGTCCGCCTTCCTCTCTTCCACCTTTCGAGTTTCCTATCTGGGGATATTACGGGCATTCTCTTATATTTAAAAAAAATCTATTTGATGTTTTTCTACTATGGTATTTCCAGCAACAAATCCTACACATGTTGGTAACCAATCTGGCGTCTTCCCAGTGACTGCAGACCTTCCCTAATGACGGCAGAACCACCCCACCCCCTTTTCTTGGAAACCTACTGCAGTAGCTATTTACCACATCTTCTTTGCACTTAGGTTTGCTGTATGTCTAATCCCCTGATTCATTAGATAATTCCTCAAGGCCAGGGTCGTTTCTCTCCTCAAGCCCTTTCCCTTCAACAGCTCTCAGAAAATACCCATTCTCATGTATTCTCTGAAAACCAAAGAGACCTTCTTATGGGAGGGGAGTTTCTACATCTTGAGATGATCATCCTCAGGACTACGGGGTTTCACAAGAGACCCTCTGAAGTCTCAGGACTCAACAGAGCTCTCCCACACCTACACTGCTCCCTCCAAGGACTCGGGCAGATGGGGCACTCCACCATGTCTTCACACTCCTGAGCTCAGCCACAGAGATCTGGGCAAGTCTCAGAGGAGATCTCAGGTTATGGTACTAAAAAGCAGCCTTTGAGGGCACTGAAGGCCAGTCCCCACTCACCAAATACCTTGAAGGCAAGACTTTTTCTGCCCAAGGAAACAGCTGTCTGAAGAGCACGGCTAGGCTCAACGGCAAGGTGTCTGGACATTCTTAACAACCCAAGAGGCCTCAGTTCTAGCATGTGTTCCTCATCCCTATCCAAGATGGAAGTCCAACTTGAGGTGCCAGAGACACCCCTTATTTCCAGGAAAGAGAATCAGGACAGAGCAGGAAAGCAGTGGCACAGTCCTCCAGAAGCAGAGACCCTTACGTGCCTAGCCCTGCCCTGTGAGGGGAAAAGGGACGTTCCTACGCCAGGGTCCTCACCTGACCCTAAACTGCTTGGTGATGTCGCTGGCCGGCTGCTGGGCTACTGCTCCCACACCCACAGGCAATGAGCTATCATTGACGGAGTCACTATATAAAGAGCTCTGCCCAGGGCTCTGGGCACAGGCAGAGACGGAGGAGGACTATGGACCTGCAGACTGTTGAATGCAGATGTGATTCTAGTGCACAACCTATTGCCAGGAGAATAAAGCCAGTAATAAACCCTTTTACCCTTAGAATGTTGTAATTTCTCGGTCCCACTGAATCTATAGTCAACTTGTCCAGAACCGAAAGCCTCAGGCAAAACCCCCTAACGAGAGATATGCTGAGCCCATATGAAGAAAACAACAGAACTTAAAGAGACCAGAAAAAAGGCTTTAATTATGGAAAGAAATACCATGGTCTCAGATGAGAAAACTAAAAATTAAGATGTTGATTTTTCCCAATTAATTCTTATACTTAGTGCAATCCCGATCAAAACACCAGTGATATAGAAATAGAAAGCCTGTTCTGGGGGTAGGAACAAGTATTAACTGCAAAAAGTAACAGAGATCTTCTCAGGGTGGTAGAAATGTTCTAAAACTGGATTGTGGTCATGGCTGCATAACTCTAAATTGTATACAATAAATAGTACACTTCAAATAGGTGACTTTTGTGATAGATAAACTATAACTCAATAAAGCTATGCAAAAATATATATCTAACAAGATTCACTGAAAGACCATGAAAAAAGCAAATCTGACTTTAGTTTTCCATGAGAGGATTTAATGCTTTTTCTTTTTTTTTGGATTTAATGCTTTTTATCGTGTTCTTTAAATGGTGAATATAAAGATACAAGATAAAAAACAATGTATCTTGGAGTCTGGAGAATTTCAAACAACAATTCCACAATTTTCCTAGAGGAATAAACAAGAAAGAATAGCTAAGAAAGTTTTTAAAAGAAGTATAAGAGGATTGCTCTGCCAGAAATTAAGCCTGCAATAATTAAAATAAGATCATTCTGTTGTAAGAATCAACAAACAGGTTAATGGTATGATAGATGTATATCTAGCAACTTAAATAGGCTTTAGTGTATATAAAAATTAGTAAAATTAGTACACAAAGAATCACAAATTAATAGGTAAGGGTTGAATACTCCACAAATGATATTGGGAGAAATTACCTACTTCTTAACAAAAACTGGAACTAGAGACTGATGTTATAGTACAGACAAATCAATTCCAGATTAATTTACAAGTTAAATGAAGGAATTAAACAGCAAAAATTATGAAAAATATAGATTAATATTTAACTAACTTCAGAATAGGGAAAGAAAGCATAAAGACTACTGAAGAAATGGCTAAAATATGCATATCATGGCACCTTACGCAAACTTTAAATAGGAAGTTTTCCAGATAATTTTTAGGAACAATGAAAAAATTCTCATGAAATAATGAGAAGTAAAGAAAGCAGAATATAAAACTGAATCAGAATAATAATATAAATAAAATATTAAAAAATAATACAACTACATACATAAAAATACAGGTGGATACACCGAGATGTCTATGGATGGTAAAATTACAGTTGAATTTTTACTTTCTCCTTTGAATATTTTCTGCTATAACCATGTATTTCTTTCATAGCCAGAAAAAAAAGATTTAAAAAAAATAGATTTGGTAGAATGAGACTATGAAAAAAATAATCAAATTCAGTCACTAAAAAGCAACAGCTTCAAAACACACATGGATGTTAAATGCATTTTTTACATGTAGGATATATTTCACAGTTTCTTAAAGCATAAAAAAATTAAATGAAAAAAAAAATTAAATGAAAGCTTTTTGCAAGAACAGGGGGACCAGTGCAGACAGCCTGCGCTGTCCCAGTCCTCTCCCACCTTGAGGCAAGGAGGGCCCCGCCTGGAGGGGCAGCAGACCTGACTGGGGTGTCCCCCACCCCCGTGGTGGAGAAGCCACATTCACCACAGACGTGGCCTCCAGCTGGTCACATCCCAAACGGGCGTCCTGGGGGCCTTTGAGGGCCTTCCCTACAGCGAGGCCCTGCTGTGCAATCCGCGCTCTTAGGCACCCGGAGCAGCCCTGTTGGCACGGCTGGGAACTGACTACGCCAGCGGCCAAAGTCTCCAGAGACCAAGCATGAGGGGCTGAGGGTCATGAACAGATTCCAGAGAGTCTGGCTGGAGGTTTGCCCCACTCCACAGCCCTCTCAAGTACTGTGCACAGACCAGCCTCAGCACCCACTGAAATAAAACCATCCCCCTGATCACCCTCGAAACTGGCCTCCTCCCCCTTCTCCCACAAATGTTCTTCCCACAGCTGCCGTCTCCCCATGAAGCACCCTTTCCCCTTGCCTCCCACAGGTACAGTAGCAGCTTCTCCTCCTCCGTCTCCCTTCCCTGTTCCAAGAAACCAGCCTCTCCCCCTGCTGCCTGGGATCCATGCTCCCGTTTCCTCCATCCCCAAAATAGTCTCATCTGAGTTCCTACCAAAATGCTGTCTCCACTAAGGGTTGCCAGATTTAATGAAAAGAAATACAGGATACCCAGTGAAATCTGAATGTCAGATAAACCACCAATAATTTTAGTGTAAGTCTATCCCATCTGTTTTATCCACCCCACCCCTTGTAACCCTTTTTCGTTCTGCCACTCATATGAAATTCTGCCCCCGTCCTGCCCACCGTAGAGCACTGCCTCCCTGCAGTCCCGGGAAACACACCCGCCCTCTGCCCCCGGAAACTGCCTCAGACAGAGCACTGCCAGCTGTTTCCTTCGGTCACTCTCTCAACCCCGCCTCTCCCCGCCCTCTTCTCCCCATCAAACGCCTTAATGCTTTCGCCATCCGAGTTTCTTGGAGACTGGCTATCCCCTACTCCTCCTCCATACTGAATGTCATCTTTTCCCTGTTGGCCACCTGATCGCCGGTAAATGACGGCTCGTCTTCCCAGGTAAACTCCCACTACAGTAGCATCTTACACCTCCTGCCAAGATGTAGTTCTCAGTGTGCACCAGGCCCTGTGCTAAGCCCCGGTTCTTGCAACAGCCCTATGAAGTAGGTATTAGTATTCTGCTCTTAAGACTTGCCCAGGATCACACAATAGGTATGTATACTTGACTCCAAAATCTTAGATAGAAACCAAGACTACACCAGAATTTCCCATACATTTGGTATTTTTTGCATCTTCAAAGAAGCATCCAGGTTGGGACCCACTCACAATACAGCTCCCTCCTGTCGCTCGGCCTCCCCCCCAACACTGCCACCTCAGTAGAGCCCACAGAAAACGCTCCACTGGCCCCTCCCTCCCCGAAGAACGTCCTCCTCCTCCACTTCCCTCTGTGGCACAGTCCCCTTGGCTGTGAAGGGCCACTCTGCCAGAGGATAGGCTCACAGCCTGTGCTGCCCACACGCCTGGCATCTAGAGATGGGCTGGGGCAAGGGCCGGGCCCGTGGTCCCCTGCTTCTGGCTGACACTTAGTCCCCACCCCACCCCCTTCTATAAATAGCCCACTGCTCACTGGCTGCCCAGCTGCTGCAGCAAGACTTTCCATGAGGTCAGCTTCCCAGAGTGGCCTCCAGGCACCCAACACCCACACTTACCTCTCCAGGAGTCCTGTGGCCGGCTCGTTCCTGTAGGGGGCTGTCCCGGGTGCTGTGTCTCCGCCGGGCAGGGGGTGTGGGCACTTGGGCAGAGGCCTGCGCTGGCGCCTTCCCTACGTTCTGGGCCCCAGGTTCTGGAGCTTGGCTTGGGGAAGAATCAGGCTTGCTATTGGTGGTGGGCTCCCCTTTGGGCTTCGGAGGGGCAAATCTCTTCCTGTTGAAAGGCCTAGTCGGCTGGGGAACCAAGGGTGTGGGCTGGCCAGGGGTGGCAGGCCCCCTCTCACCTCCAGCCCCTCTGGGTGTCTTCCCCGAGGGCGTCCCTCCAGGCGCCCTGCCACCTGCGGAGCGGGACCTGTCCTCCTCCTGAGGCCTGACTGCCCCGGTACTCTCCAGATACATGTCCTTCGGGGAAAAAGACTCTTCCTGGTCTGGGCCTGGGACGGGGCCCTGGGCACTGCGGGCCTGGTCTTGAGTGCCCACAGCAGAGGCTGGCTTCCTGGTGCTGTCGACTCTGGAGGACCCGGGCCACCGTGCAGGCCCACCTCTGGGCTGGGTCTGAGCCTGCTCCACGTCCATGGGCCCCTGTGTCCCACAGGAGTCGGGCCTGTCTGAATTGGGGACACGGTTTCCAGAAGAATGGTGGCTTTGAGCAGCCTTGTCTGACTCTGGCTTCGGCAGACCTTGCTTAGGTCCCTCATCTTTCTTTTTCTTCTTGGCCCCAGACTCCTTTCTGGGGGTTCTCTGAGGCCGCAGCTCCACGGCCCCACAGATGTACGTCAACAGGCCGTGCTCCCCGTCCTCTCCATTCTCGGGCATGGCCTCCCCGTTGGTGGTCACCTCTCCAGAGGCAAAGCTGTTGATCAGGCCCAAGCCAGGGAGCTGACCAGGCTCAGCCTCTCCCTCCTGCCAAGCTGCCGGGGTCTTGTCCTCAGCCTTCCTGGGAGGGCTGGCGGTGACTGGCACCTCGGCCCCACTCAGCCGCCGCTTTCGCTGGAAGCGGTCAGGGCTGAGCTTGCGTAGGGTGTCGGCCTCACCCACCACTTCCTTCCCATGCCTCCAGCTCTGCTCGATCTCGCGCATCTTTGCCGCAGCCTTGTGCTTGAGCTTGGCGAACCACCGCTGGTGGATCCTGTACTCGGTCATGGTGCCCACCTCCAAGACCCCTGAGCAGGACACAATGCCCTTAGTGTTTCGGGCAGAGGCCTGGTAGATGGCAGCATCTTCTTCTCGACACCTACAGCGGGGAGCAGGAGGTGAGGGGCGCCCCCTCTGCGCCACCAGAGCCTTGCAGAGATAAGCATGCCACCCCGCACCCTGCAAATCCCACCCTGAGAGCCACGTCCCATCTCAGACGTCACCATACCCAGCACTGTCCACTCCAGTTGAGGAAACTGAGGCCAAGCATGCAGGAGCTGCCCAAGGCCACGGTGTTCCAGGAGGGACTAGACTTGGGGCCCAGGAGAGCCCCCTTCAGAGGCAGTGACCTACACAGCCCCTTGTGAAGGAAGGATGACACAGGAACTTTTTCTGGCAGCTGACCTCATGGAAAATGTTCCTTGGGACAGGAGCTCCTCTGGCTGTGCCCAGCTCTCTGGCTATCAGAGATACTCCCACCCTGGCCTTAGGGGACCCCAGACACTGGTGGGCAGTGCAACTCAGCAGCAGAAACCTGCCCTCACCCCAGACCCTGCCAGGGCATCTCTGTTCAGCTGACTCCGTTTCCGAGGGCAGGCCTGGGCCCCAGGACCCTCAGGAGGGCAGAAGGGGCAGACCAGGGCCCTCTCCCTCACCTGTAGAGCTGCAGCGTGTGCCGGTTGCCTTGATGAGTGATCTTGTATTTGGGCAAGCCACAGTAGCGGTCCAGCTCTGTGTCGTCCTTGTACCACGTCACCTCTGGCTCTGGGTACCCTGAGAAGGAAGCAGGAGACTGGATTGCAGGAAGACCCATTCCAGAATAGTGGATGGAGAGAACAGGGTGCCACGGCTTCCCCCAACCACCTGAAAAGACTGGACTGGCCCATCTGTCCCAGGCTTGCTGGAAGAGCAGGGCTGTCTTACGGCTCAGATTATTTTGTAGAAGCTAAGCCCTGTCAAAGCTGAAAACTGTTCCCCTTCAGCAGCTGGAAGGCAAATATAGAAAAGAAACTTCCTAGCTTCCTGGTAAGAAGGGAAGCAAGGAATTTCCAGAAAGCTTTGGCCGGTAATAATAAGCCTCCTCCTTCCATGGCCTGTTATATACCCTCAACTGTAATAACAACTCTGTCTTCAGAGGTCTCCCCACAACACCACTGCCAAGAGCCCTCGTTCTTTCATTTCAGATTCATGAAACATTAATATTATTTGATGACACAGCTAGTACATCCATCCATCTATGCATCCACGCATCCATCCATCCATCCATCCATCATCAATCTACCATCTGTTCATCCATCCATCCATTCACTGCTGTGAGACTGACTGAGGTGTCTTCCCAGTCCCTCCCCTCTGAGGACACCCAGCCCTACCTACAAGGAGAGCTTCCAACATTAGAGTTACATGTCCCTGCCTCCCCTGCCACATAGTTGATTGGTCCAGTAATAGACACCTACAATCAGCTAATCTAGTCCAATTAGTTGACCTAGAATTTGGGAATCAGGACCTAGAGACAATCTACCTTGTGTCTGGAAATACAACTTTGAAGGGGTACAGCCATGTTCTAGCACATGGGCTGAGTAGACAAAGCTGTTCTGCAGCAAGATGGAAAAATGAAGTTGATATTCAGAATAAAATAAGAGATGGGAGTCAGAGTCCCAACTTCTTTCCAAATACTGGGTCCATCCCTTGCCTGAGTACAGGGCACACCTACTTGTCAATTCCACAAGAAGCCTGTCAAGCTTTATCCATGAAATTGGCTTCATTTCTTAGGCTGACTCCAATCAATATGCAATCTTTATTAGATCAAAGGCTCCTAACATATATTCCCTCAAAAATATCTATTAAGTATGTGCTGACTGCTAAGTGAGTGACAGACAGGGTCTCTTGCACTGAGGAAACCTACGGCACATTAGAAAAGGTAAGGCAGGTCCCTATACAATTTGGGGGGGGGGACACACCTGCATCCAAGCACACATCCTCTGCCCTCCCTACTGTCCAGGGATAAACTGCCCCCACGCCTACTTAAAGTCACCCTCACTGGATCCCCTCTCTTCTTACATCAAGGACATTTCTCCAACAATTACTCCTGCTCTCTCCCGCACCATCACACTTCTCTCTCTGCTCTACCATTCCCATCGGCACACCAGCCTGCCGTACTGTCTCCCTTCTTTAAAAGAATTCATCTGACCCCACATCCTCTTCTAGTTCCTGCCTCTACTTCTCTGCTCTCGCCTTTACAGAAGAAGCCTCTGGAAGATGGGTCCGCACTCACTGCCCCACCTCCGCTCCTGCAGTCAGGCTGTTGCGCCACTGCACGGCTCTCGCCAAGGTCACCACCAGACCTGCGGCTGAATCTCAGGCCACACCTGCTCTGTCACCACTGACCCCCTACCTGACGCCTTTGCCCACTCACTTCTGGGCGCCACTCCCTCCGAGGGCTCTCCCTGCTTCACTTGCCACTTTTCCTACCCTCTCTCATCCATACCCCCTCGCCACCGAGGCCTATAAATGTTGGATGCCCCAGGACTCAGGCCTCAGAACCATTGTCCATTCTCTATCCATGTAACCTGGGGATCGAATCCTGTCCTGTGGCCTTGAAACAGCTACATGCTCATGACCCCCAGGTTTGTTTCTCCAGCATAGACCGCTGCTCTGAGCTCCTGGTTGTCAGTTCTGGCTGCACATCTGACGTCTCACATGGAGGATTAACAGGCATCAAACATAGCAGGCCAAGCTCCCATTCCCCTGTCCAAGGCAGGTCCCACATAGCTCCGTAAATGGCAACTCCATCCTTGTAATTTGGCTCAGGCCAGAAACCTGGAAGTAATCCTTTATTCCTTGCTTTTTCTCATGTCCACTCGGCCAGACGATCCCAGGGGCCTGCGCTTCGGAATAGATCTAGAATCTGATCACTTCTCGTCATTCCCCACCATAGCCCTGGTCTATCACCACCGACTTACACCCCGATTTCTGTGATAACCTCCCTACCGATCTCATTACTGGTCTTTCTTCAGCCCATTGTCAGCACAGCAGCCAGAGTGAGTCTTTTAAGATAAAGTCAGCTCATGGCACTCCTTGGCATGAAGGGCCCTTGTCCCGGCTCCCCTCACCCCTCCACTCCGCCCTCCCCGGTACACCCAGCCCCGCAGCCCTCAGGCTCGCCTCTGACGCACCATGCAGGCACCACACCTTCCTATTCCTTCTCTGGCTGCACGTCAGCCCTCAGGGAGCCCACCTACCACCCTGTGTACAACAGCCGCTCTCTTTCCCTGCACCTCTGTACCTCTTACCATGTTTATTTTTCTTCATAGAATGCATTGCTATCACAGAATGCAAATGCGTATCATACAGTTATGAGTTTGTTAGTTAGTGTCCATCCTCTCAAACCCCTGTGGAAATGTCAGCTTCGTGACTTATCTGTGTCACTTGCTGCTGTGTCCCCAGTTCCTAGAATAGTGCCTGGTATGGAACCAACCCTCATTAAATATTTATAGATGAATGAATGAAGCAATACTCTAAGTACTCAGGGTGCGGAGAAGGGGGCAAACACCTCTGGCTGGGGAATCAGGAAAGGCTGTATGACATGAGCGGCATTTGAACTGGCCTTGAAGGGTGGGCAGAATTTCAGAAAATGTGGGTTCGGTGCCTGCACTTCCCCTTCATACCACTAATCACGTTTATGTAACTGACTATTTCCTTGTCTGTGTCCTGTCCTAGACCCGTGTCCCACGTGGGCAGGGCTCATACCTTCTGCTGCTACATCCCTATGCCTAAAAGCACCTGACATACAGGAGTTACTAAACAGAGATCTGCTGCATGAGCGAGTAAACGAGTGAGTGAGGGGGTGGAAAGCAAAGGGCACACTGGGCACCGGGCACAGGCGCAGGGAGCAGGGGAGGCAAGGCTACAGTGGGGTCGGCCAGGGGCAGACTCTGGGCAGTCCCGACTGTAAAGCGAGCCCCGTGTTTCCACTGTGAGCTCAGGCCCCTGGTTACATCACTGCTTGTGGCCAGGGCCAGCGCAGGTGTCCTCCCATCCTGTGGGGTGATCTCATCCCAGCTCACGGCCTCCTGCCCCATGACCTGCCCAGTAGGGCCTCCGCCCCCAGGGCATCTGAGTCCCCTCAGGCTGGGGCAAAGGGGCAGGGACAGGGCAAAGAGGTAGACGGCGACTGGACCGCACAGCCCCAAGGCTGGGGCCTCGGCCCCATATCACCCTCTGGCACCTCTGCACAGAGTGGGGCCAACCTGACAGCATAGGGCTCCGTGGCAACAATGGGTTCTGGAAACAACTTCATGTGGGGAGAAAGCATTTCCTTGCCCTGGATTACATGAACCGCATTCTACACAAAAGCAGGAGAGGCCCCGCACTGCCAGCTGCACACACACATGCCCGTGCGTGTGCCCACAGGCAGCTAGGCATACACACTCACTCAGCCCTAGCCAGGGACGACCACAGTGGCCTCCCCTCTGTCCCTTCACACACAGCGACGTCTCTTCACAGCCAGAGGGCTGAGTCTGGAGCCCTGCTCGGAGACTCGCAGCTCATCCTAACCACGCCAGCCTGGAGAAGCTCACACATGACAGAAGGCTAATGATCGATGTAAATTCAGAGTTTTCAAAGAGCTTTCAAATACAGAATCTCATTTGATCCTCATAACAATCCTGTGAAAACAACTGCTAACATTTTTTGAAGACTTACTATGTGCCAGACACTAAGCTGAACATTTTTCATATATTATCCCATCTAATCCTCATGAAACTCCTATGAGGAATGTACTGTCATTAATCCCCAGTTTAAGGAGGAAACCAAGGCCCATGAACTTAAGGATCCTTCCAGGGGTTATCCAGCCGGCACATCAAAGAGCGAAACTTCAAGTCCCACTCTTCCGTAGCACAGGCAGGGCACGCTTTAATCCCTATTAGACACAGAAAGAAGATGAGGCTCAGAGAAAGTAAAGTGACTTACTCCAGGCACAGAGCTGGCACACAGCAAAGCCCCTGGGTCCCTTTTCCTTTTCCCGATGCTCTGGCACCGGGGGTCTGGGATTCTAGGACCCACAGGTAAGCTTCTGCCCCCAACAGTCACTATATTAGACTCATTTCTCTAAGAAAAGTTTCTTCAGGAACTTGTTCTGTCTAAAGGCTCAGTCCCTCTGTCCAGCCAGCTGGCTGCCACTGCCCCATCCTCCTGCCCCAACACACGTGTACGCATACACACACCAACACAGAATCTACAGCAGAGTTGAGGAGGGTGGGGGAAGAGGGCCACCATGCCGGACAGAGATGGGCAGCCTCAAGGAGGGCAGCAGCCTCTGGCCAGAGGGGCCCCTGGGGGAGAGAGGAGCCAGATGGCCCGGTCAGGACCCACCATCCCCTCAGTGCCACTCTGACAGCAAAGAACCTCAGGGTTGTACATTTCTTCCCCAAGCCTCCATGGGCTCCCCTCAGAGCTCAGCCAGCAAGGAAACCAGCCCCGGCTCCTCTCCGTCACCGGGCTCAGCTCTGACTCACTAGGAAAGGGTCACCTGCTCCTGGCAGGGCCCCGGTGGGGCTGACTCATCACGGCCTGATTTAAGAATGCTACCAGCGGGATGGGAGGAAGAGAGGCAAGGTGGCCACTCTATGCCCACAGGGACTAGGGCGGGACCACCACTCGGAGAAAGAGGCCAACCTCAGCCACAGATCCATCTACTGTCCACCTTCCCAGACTGGGGACACCTGATTACTCACCGTGCTTCCCTTGTTCTCTGATCTTTCTGTATCACCCTCCCCAACTCACAGTCTACATTTTCTCCTTAATTGGAAAGGGCTTGTTTGCAGTGCACTGTAGCAGTCAGAGAGACCTCTTTCCTAATCAGCCACATAAAACCCAGGTAAGCTGGGATGTCATTACTTGGGGGCAAAGAGGAGGTAGGAGGGAGTCAGACACAACAATGGACTAAGGGATGGATGTTAGAGGCAGCTGCACCTCTGGAGACCTGGCAGCCTCCATGGTAGAGTTGTGGGCCTCAGCATGGTAGGTGCCCTGAGCAGACGCCCAGGGCCCTGACTGGTCATCACGAGACATAGGGCTATGGCAACTGAGGGGATAAAGGTTTACTCCTTCAGGTGGAGTTTGCAACAGGGAAAGGCTTCCATGATGACACTGGCAGTAGTTAACGAACTACCCAAGTCTATAGATGGGCTGGCAGGAGAGAGGGGAACAGACGTCTCCTCTCTGGCTTCTCCACGTTTTGCTCTCAGAGTCCACGGCGGCAAATGACAGAATGTAAGTAAGGAGAGAAAGGAGAGCCATCCCTGATGCCTGCACCTCTCAGGTGGCCCAAGGTTACCCCGGCAGGTGCTGCCGCCAAGGCACTGAAGCTGCAGCTGAAATGAATGGAAATACGGAAAACGCGAAAGATACCGACTTTGTCACCAGCACAGTCAGGTCCCACAGTCATCTGGCAAATGCGTACTGAGTGCCTTCTTTGTGTCTGCTCCAGAGGCTTGCTTTGTGCTTGAGCCTCACAGATCTCATGGTTTTGTTAGAGGGAGAGATGGATAAGCAGAGAAACTGCCATGAAGGACAGAGCAAGGGCTGTCCGTGGAAATGCTGCAGATGATCTCCTGCACGAGGAGCCATCTGAGCTGGACTTTGAAAGAAGAGAAGGAATTGGCCAGGCAAGGGCGTAGGCTTCTAGGGAAACAGGCAGAAGGAGCATACCATTTATTTTCACTCTCTCCCCAAAACCCACTAAGACCACATTAAAGAGATTTTTGTATTAAAAGATATAAAACCACATGGAAGGAGAGAAGAGCAAGGAGAGCAAGGGTGCTCTGAAAGCTGGAAAACAGATGGAGAAGTAGAGACCGACTGGGCAGACCCAGGACAGCTTAGCGCGAGCTAGCAGGCGCAGAAGACTGAACGCTGCCCTTTGAACTCCAGAGCTGGGAGTCAGGAGCCTCTGGAACCAGGGGGAAAGGGAAAGGAGATCTCTGGAGTCCCTCACCCACTCCATACCACTGGGTAACTGCTCCTTCCCCACCACAGCCAATGTGAGGTTTATTATCTGCAAAGGTGAAACTTTTCCCTAAGGGTAAGCCAGCACAGTGGACAGCATGTCTATTCTATGGAAAACAGAAAAATGTGACAGCCATTATAAATAAAATAAATGCTCTATGCTGAGAGCCCACCCAACTTTCTAATCTGCATAGCTCCTAGAAAACTTTTACCCTCCAGGCAGGATACCGGGAGGGTATTCACTGGGGAATCTAACTGGCCCAAGAGGAAGGAACTACAGACACTTACATCGTGAGTGCCTGACAGTGACCCGCCAGATCACCCTACAGCGAAGACCCAAGTTTTCAGGCCCCTCCTACCTACTCAGAACTTTCTATCAGCTTTTATTTTCCCATTCTTATTCATTATCTAACAGACAGACTCATATATCTGAGGGAAGCCTACAAATAGAAGATTAAGGACAAAAGCAATTAAACAGAAAAAAGGCAAATTGGGAGAAACACAAGCTATTCAGGGAAAAAGAAACCTCAGAAAACTATCATTACAAGTCTCAGAGAACTAATAGAAGATAACTACATTCATGAAAGAACAGGATGCTATAGAAAAAGATTCAAAAAGAGCACTTATAAATAAAAAATCCAATAGAAGGGTTGAAAGATAACACTGTGGAAATCTCCCAGAAAACAGCACAAAAAGACAAGTAAATGAAAGGGTAAGAAAATTAGAGAATGAATCCAGGAGAGCATATTTCTATACGAGAGAAGTTCCAGAAAGAAGCAATAAAGAAAACAAGAGGAAGAAATCAACACCAAAATAATCTCAAGTTTCCCAGAACTGAAAGCCATCAGTTTCCAGACTGAAAGTACCCAAGCATGCCCAGAAAGAAAAGAGGTCTATAGCAAGATACATCATTCTGAAACGTCAGAACATTCTTCAAGCTTCCAGAAAGAAAAACCTGTCTCATTCAAAGAATTAGGAATCAAACTGTCTTCCTGCTGTAAACAATAACATTGAAAACAGGAGGCAATACATCAATGTCTTCAAAATTCTGAAAGAAAATTATTTTCAACTTAGAATTCTATACCCAGCCAAACTCTCCATCAAGAATAAAGTAGGGAAAAAAAAGATGTTTCAAACACAAGTTGTCTAACATTTACTTCCCATGTACTCTTCCTAGCAGGCTACCAAAATCAGGATGTAAATCAGGAAAGAAAAAAACTGTAGAATACAAAAAACAAGAAAAATCCATCACAGGAGAGAGTGAAGGGAATCTACAGGATGGTGGTAAATGGAGGTCCTGGGATGACAACCGTCACCAGACGCAGAGAACCAAGTGAACCATATGGGACCAGAATGACTCAAAGGAGAGAGAGGTTGAGAGCCTGTCACCACAATGCCTCCTGCTGTTGTACCATCTTTGGGACCTGATGAAACTACTGGAAGATGAAGTGGAATAAGGCCAAAAAATAAACCAAAAAGAAAGAAAGATCCAGAAAACTGAATAAAACCCCGAAGAAAGGCAAAGGGAAGACCCAGGATAACAGTGTGTGCCAGGCCTAAAAGACCACCAGTTCAGACAGGAGGACAGGTATCCCCAAGAGGGCTGTGTCCACGGACAGTGAGCGACGAACACTGATGCCACTCACCTTGTAGACATTGTATTAAGAGGCAATTAGAAGGTATAAGAAAAATTAGCAATAGATTCCAGAAAACTAATCAAATGAAAAACTAAAGAAAGTACTAACTTTAGGGAAAACATCAGAAAGAAATAAAATCATAATATGCTGCAACATTTTATAATGACTACATTGCATAGAATAAACAGTAAATAGTGATTCAAGCAAACATTATGAGGTAACTGTATTGAGAAGATAAGGGAGGAGAAGCAGAAAAATGATGATAAAGAGAGCTAATTCCCTACTTACCATAACAGGGAGACTAGATAGCATCTAAACTTGAAGAAGCAGAAGTTAGCGATATTCACGTATTACTCAGCATCATGGAAATACATACACACCAGAAGAAACAGCCAAAAGCGGACACAGTTGCTTCTGTGAAAAACTGGTTGGCAGGGTGAGCTGTTATACTTTGATATATGCATTTTAATGTAATTTGAAGTCTTAAACTATGTGCATGTATTAATTTGATAAAACTAAAATTAACTTTCTTTAAAAAAAAGGATTGATGACTTTCTACACAGGGAAACTAGCACATGCAAAAAGCACGGTGTTGTGGAAGAGCTGAGCTTTCCTCGAAAACGAGAAGTCAATGCCAGTGACACAGGAGGGACCAGCCTAAGCAGGAGCTTCAAAGGCTGCGGAGGGGGAGCAGTATCTCCTCCCACCAGCTTTGTGGATTTCGGCCAGTCGTCTAGCCTCTTCTAGTTTCCTTCTCTGTAAAATCTGACTGACTATAGCACTTCACAGGGAATTTGCAGAATTCAGTGACAGTGGAAACATGAATGTTGCAAAATGTGTTATGATGTACAAAGGAAAGGAATGCAGGCACACCTCTGTGTCCCCAGGAGCAATGTTCTCAGCCTGGCGCTCAGAGGGTAAGAACTGCTCAAAGGAACTCAATCCCAGAGCAGTTGGGACTGGGACAGACTGGTCAAAGCCGGAAACCACCAATGCCCTTAATTTACTGAAAAAACTCTCTGAGGGTGACCTTGACCTGGGACCCCTGAACTGGCGGCTGAACAGCTGGGAGGGGTAGGCCCTCATCAGTGAGTCCTTCAGGCCCTGAAGCAGGTCAGGGTGGTGCCACAAGACTGAGAGGCCCGGGCGCTGGCAGCCCCAAGCTGGCACCCCTCTGCCCTTCCTTCCAAGGTTTATCACTCTGCTTCCTATTCTGCCGAACTGTTGCTTCAAATTCCGCCGCGGGGTTCACTGAAATGCAAATGATAATAGTCTTGATTTCACACTTGTGTGGTACTTACTGTAGGCCAGGTACTATTCTAAATGCTCTGCATGTGTTAATGCATTCAGTCTCACAACAACCCTGTCAAGTTCAGCTGTTAGCATCCCCACTTTATAGCTGAAGTGCTGAAAAGTTTTGCAACCTACTCAGTTTCACAAATTGGAGAGGGGCCGCACCAGCACTCCAAACCCGTCTGCAGGGCCAGCACTCAGAATCCCAGGCTCTCACTGTCTCTTGGGCTCGAGCAGCCCCAGCCTCAAACTACTCAACCGTAAAACTGAGGATATTTGGGAAGGCGACATCAAAAACCTCTTTCAGTTGGAGAGCCTCTTTCCCTGGAACTAAGATTCATCAGCCGTGTATGTATTCCCAAGAGTGAGGAACCTTTACTGAAACATCAGGTATATGTGGCCCCAGGATGGGAGGAGAAAAAGGGTGTAAACTCTGGCTCCACACAGGGAGAAACAGCGTGTATACGTGGCTCCACACAGGGAAATTTAGCTGGAGAGAAAGCTGAGAGAAAGGTCAACTTGCACAACTTTGCACACAGCTAACCCCCCTCCATGCTTGTCCCATGCCCCCTGGAGCCCTGATTCGTGCAGCAGCCCTGACATCGGATCATAGATGGCCTCATTACCTGTGACAATGCAGGTGAACCTGACGTCGCTGTCCTCAGACACAGCCCGGGATTTGAGCGTCGTCTCGAACAGCGGCTGGGTCTCCTCTGTTAGCTGAGCAATGATGGAGCAGAAGGTGCTCCTGGGAAAGGCAGAGAACTATTCAGAGCAGCTTCCCCCACCCCAGCACACCGCAGCCTGGCTCTGTCCTAGGCAGTTTCAATCTTACCATGTCTGTCGGTCATCCAGTGGCCATGGCCCCAGCACCTGGGCAAATCTTTCTTCAAGGGAGCCTGCCTCTTGGCCAAGTCAGGGCAGGGATGGTACCAAGGAGCTGAATGGAATCCTGATCAGGCCCATAACAACAGACAGGCTTTGGACCATGGGCCAGGCTCCTGAGCATGCCAGAACACCAGCCCTGGCATTGCCACCCCACCCGAACAGGGGGCCTTGCTTCACCCTCCACTTTCATCTCCCAGGAAGCTTATGCATGGGGGAGACACACACACAGATAGGCCCAGCCTCAGAGAGGGAGACCCCAGCGCAGCAGAGCCCCCATTCATGCCAAAGAGGGAAAAGCTCTCAGGGATACATAGGTCTTAGAAGCTCAGGGGCCTCTCCTAAAGCTTGGACTCTAAAGAAAAGCACGTTTTGTGAGCACAGACCCATAGTAGACAAAGAATAAACTGGCCAATGCCAGGGGTCTAGACCCAGGGGTGGACTCTATTCCTGGGGTTACCAGAAAAGTGAGACTCAAATGAACTCCAACTCTAAACAAGTCTATGGACCTGTAGTGGAAAGCCAGCCAACAGACCAACAGCAGGACGGTCAAACCACAAACGGATCCACCCCGGGAAAAGCCAGGACTTTGAGTTCCCTAGTGACAGTCCATCACCCAGACTGCAGATGCACCTGTGGGCTGAGTCCGTAACCGACTCCCCAATGCTGCTCAGCATCTGCAGTCCTCCCCTAACTGGCACCAGAAACAAGCAGCCATCTCACCCCCTCCATGGCCCCAGACACAGTGCATCCCTAGGCGTGAAGCATAACCACATAGCCAGGTTGTGTGGTGCACAAGCTGTGCCCAGGCCTCCGCCCCCTCCCAACTCACACCCCAAAATGAGCAGCAGTGAGGACTATGAAGGGCCAGGTGAGGAAAAGCAGGAGAAACTGGTGAGAAAGACAAATCACCTTTCTCTGTGACTCAGGAAGTTTGGGGGATCGGTCACCCCTGGCTAATGTGGGCCTGCCCGTGACCTCCCCACCAGGGGCACGGTGAGAGTCCACAGAAACATGGCGAACAGGAGCCACGACCCTGCGCTTTGTGGGAGGTCTTCCACGTTCAGTAAATCATTTCTGTGGCTATCATTCTGGACTTGAGTTTGGGGAGAAAGGGTGTATCCCAGTAAGAGTGCAGGGACTCAAGACTTCTGGGTAAAGGTCCAGCCATGGTTTCTCCACAGGTGTGCAGAAGCCTGGGCCTTCAGGGCACTGACAGGAGTCCTCCCAAACAAAGACTGCTCAGAAAGGGGATCCCAGCCTCTCCCATGCCTCAACACTAGAGTTGGGGCTGCAGTTAAGACTCCATAGCGCCCCCTGCAGTGCTCCCACTGGAACTCACCTGTCTAAAAAGCATTTTTCCTTCCCCTTTCAATCCATTCAGAAATAGTGGGTCCTTCAGGGTTTAGACCATCAACTCCCTGACACTCAAATATAACATCTGAAAACATTTCTTGCTGCTCTCATATTAACAGCAACTTCTGGCTTTGGGGAATACCAAATCCCAACCAATCGTTTCTAGAGGAAATTGCCATGCCAAAAGTAATTGGACTTCTCCGACTTGGCAGCTAATTTGAAACACCCTCAATTATGTCCTCCCTACATAATTTGAATCCTTACTCATGAACACAAGCCTGGATCTCATGTTCAGTTTAGGCTTTTAGGGATGAACTGCTTGGGAAAGTCTAAGAAAATAAGCTACCAGATCTGTATGAAAACAAGGAAGTTACGCTTCAAGAAAAGTTACAGAGATATTCAGCAACAGGTAGTTGTTTTATTTCATTACTTATTTTGAATGGGAAAGAACACTTACCTTCTCAAACTTTCCACACTAGGTCCTAAGCCATATTATAACCAATGTTCACACTGGAGAACCCTAGGAAACTGCAGAAAGGCATGACTAGCTGAAAGCCCTCTAGGGGCAGTGGGTCTGGGATGCATTTGGGGGATGGGGAGACTCGCTACATGCACTGTCATGTTCCACTGAATGTCACCCTCTCTCTATCCTCATCCTCCATGCGGACATGATGGACTCTGAGTGTGCTGCTTCCGGTCCCCTGGAAAGCCAGAAATCCACACATCTGGAAATGATCTGGTCCCACCCTGACACCTCCAAGTCCTTCCAACTCTGACTTCATAAAGATATCACAGCTTAATGTGTGTCTCTAAAGAACACTGGAGTCACTGGTTTTCATGATGTTCAAAGGAACTTAACCCTGCCCTTAGGTTTGGTTATTTACATAGTGTTAAATAAAAGCCCAAGCTCCTCTCTGTTTCGGGAATTCCCACACTCCACTTTGAATCAGTTGTGACACCCACTCTTCACCCCTTCAGGCCATGAGCCACCCAGAACAGGGGCTCCTCAGTATTCTCCCATACCAAAGAAAATGTCCCTGGTAGGTGCTAATTATATCTGTGGACATTATTAGCTATTCAGGGACCAGTTAGCTAATCAGAAATCTTTGTGTAAAAAAATTATAGCCAACTCTCCCCAAACCTAGAGTCTGGGATGAGGCCCAAGTGGTGGGAAGTAGCCAGGAAATGATCCCACTTTGATCATAATAGTCAGTTCAGCCGGAAGTAGAGAGCTATCCCTAGCCTGGGAGGCAGGAGAACAATCACTCAACAGGCAAACACTGCCCAGGGGCCTGCTCAGGCCCGGAGCTGGCTCCGATGCAGATTCAGAGCACAAGCTAAGCAGGATACATTAACATGGTATTCCCTGACCTCACAGAGTTCACAGTCTGCAGGGGTGGAGAGGAGCCAAAGGAAGGGGAAATTAGAGAACGAGGCAGTAAACTGAGAACTAAGGGACTGGAGGAAAAAAGGGATGCTAAGGCAAGAGCCATGGTGAGAAGATAGACAGTAAGATGTCAAACCTACATAAGTGGTTACAAAAACCATGAAAACCTAGGATGGGTAAGAAGCGGGTCATGTGACTGGTGGCTCCCTGTTTGGGCTCCATGGCGCCTCTCCAAGGGGCACAGGGACAGGGCTGTAGGCATCTCAGGAACCCTTGCATCTTTCTGGGTCCCTGCATCCCTTTCAAATGGTCCATGCAAGTACCAACTCCGGCCCATACGAGACTCATGCTCACGTGAGTGCCCTCTCCCTCCTCACCCCATGCAGCCTGGTCAGTGCACAAGCAGCCTCCCAGAGGCCCCTCAATGCCCATACCCAAGAAGAAAGCAGTTGGAGAAATGTAATGCAATGTGCGTTTACCTTCCAGAGCTGGGGTGGGACAACCGGTTGCTTGATAAGCTAAGCAAAAACAGCAAATGGAATCATTAGGCCAAAAAAGCAAGGAAAGGGGGAGGCGAAATCAACAACAGTCTGCAAAGTATTAATTGGCCACCACCTGGGGCCCAGAGGCCTTTCTATTAAAAGGGACCAGCTGTCTTGGTTGGCTTGCTCCAGTTAGCAAGTGGCCTCACTATCAGACACCAACGTATCTGAAACCAAGGGCTCATTAAACACAGCAGAGTCCAGGGAAACAGTTAGGCAGGAAGGAGGCCCCTTGGGGCTGCGCTTTTGAGAAAGGTACATCCCAGGCACTTGGTCACTGCCCTCAAGAGGGGGGCACGTAGAGCTGCCTGGCACATTGCCCCACATGGCAGCACACCTGCCTGGGGCAGCTCCTGCTTCAATCCTGGCCTTCTGGGGGAGAAGAGCCCCCATTCCTGGAAGTCCCCTAACAGGCTGGGAAGGAGACAGGTGGCTTAGAGAACGCCCATTAATATGTTAAAGTACAGTTAAAGAGGCCACGCAAGGGCAAACCAGCTGGGAGAGAAGAAGAGAAGACAAAGCCGTTAATTCAGCAGGAGCCGGGGGGCACTCAGCTTGGTCAGACCAATAGAAGGCCCTTTATGCCTGGAGGCCCTACTCATCCCTCTTACCTGGGGCAGTGGAGGACACTCGCCAGGGGCTGTGTGGGCCACTGGGGGTGAGGACAGACACGGGGGGCTGTCCCTTAGTGGATATGATACCAGCAGCACTGCTTCTCCCTCCAGCTTTCCCAGCACCAACATCTCCAGTGGTGGTCCCAGCCACTAGCTCCCACGGCTCTCGGGAGATCTCAGGGTACACACACACCCCAATCCACACCCACTCCCTTTAGCTATCCCCACCATGAGAATGGCTCTCCTTTCATTATCTGCAACCCAGCCTGCTCAAAGGCACTTGCGGCCTCCAGCTCCAACCACTTGAAAATCTGCTGACAGTCCGTCCCTTCAGATAACTAAAAACCCAAACCCACCCTCCACCTGAAACACGGCTTCTGCTCCAGTGCACCTCGCCCTGCGGCTGCCTCCTGCGTCCCCTCAAACGCCAAAGCAGCAAGTCAGCCGTGCCGGACTCCACCCTCTCTTCCAACCCGAGGTCCAACCAGTCAACAATTCTCAGCGCTTCTTTCTCCCTTTCTCTCAACTCCTGCTGCTGTTATGATCTGGACCCTCATGGCTCCATATTCAATGACCATCTCAATGCCCTTCTCCTTCAACCCTCATATCACACCACTTCTCTGCAAAATCGCTATAGTCCCCCCACCAGATATTATATTGACACCCCCTCCCACTTGACTGGGCACTTAGGGCCCCCCACCACCACCTACTCACACCCACTCTAACTATGGCTCTGCACTTCCCACACTCAGGTTCCACTGCCACCAGACATGCCCCTTACCGGCATGTACACATGCATTCCCAGCCTCCGAGCCTCCGCTGGTGTTCTCCCTGCCCGGAAAGCCCTCCCGCTTTCATTTCGCTCAACTAAATCCAACCACCTAGCCGGCAAGTCTCTTTTTGTAGTTTCTGTAGCTCCTAGTGCAGTGCTAGGCTTACAAACAGCACACAACAGCTGTTTTTTGGAAGAAATAGAGGAGGAGGTAAGTGCATCTCTCAAACAGGAAAGGGTCCTGACCCCAGAGGGAGCTGCTGCTCCACAAAATATGGAAAGAAGCGCAAGAACGCAGCTGCCTTTGCTTGGAGCTTTAAAAATCCCCTGGGGACTGCGTGGGCAGAAGCTCCCACTGTTCAAGGCACTGGCCAACTCCATCCTTTCCTGACCATGAACTTCCTTTGCATTTGTCCTCAGAATTGAGATTTCTCCTCTGTTGGTCTCGATTTCTTCCCTGGGAACGAGAGGGGGAGCATTATTTCTCTAATTCAGAGGAAAATGACAGGTTCCACAGGTTCTGCTACAATGGGCAAGGGGCTGGGCTGGGAGAGTGAGCCCCCTGGCCCACTCTAGCGCTGGGTGTGATGCTCCGCTCCCTGGCCCCACTGTCCTGCTTTCTCGAGGCCTCACCCTTACCTGGTTAGCCAAGACACAAGGAATCCCAGGGTTGGGGCGGAGGCAGCTTGTCTTCAGAAGATGGAAAATTTGCCTGTGCCCTGATGGCTGGGCCAGGGCTAGACTCAGGGCTCCCACCCAAGCAGGAACTTCCCATTTATTGACTGTGAGGGGGTCACAGTCAGAGGCATCATATGCTGGGGACAGAAAGGCCTAAAAGAGTTCTTAATGGCACCTTCATTTTATAGAATGGTAATTCAGGGCCCAGAAAAGAGGAGAAAAGTGGGCCTGGTGGGGAGCCAGGACTGGCCATGGAAGCTGTCCATTCTTCCTGGAGGCCCAGCCCCCTGCCCAGCTGTCCATCAGCTCCCAGGGCAGCCCAACCCCACAAGGGTGAATGCGACTTATGCCTCATAAGCTCCACAATAGATGCGTATAGAGGGAGACCCAGAAAATGCTGGAGCCGAGAGTGTGTGGGACAGAACTGGCCTTTCAGTCAGGACTGACCAGTTAGGACTCATCTGGGCTGAAACAAGGGACTGCTGGCAAAGCCCTCAAGGCACCCTCTTCCTCCTTGTCCCTTGGGCCCTCTTCCCAACCCCACAGGCAGGCAGGCTGTTGTGAAGAACGGAAGTCTGTGTGGCTGCCTGTTCCACCTCAAGAGGCAGGCCTTGCTGGGGAGCTGGGAACACCTCCCACACACGCTCCCCAAAGCAAACCCGTTCACATTCACATTCTCCCTTCTCTGGCCAGAGGCTTTTCCAGAGCATGAGAAATCTGGCCCTCTGTGTCCCTCAGGGCCTGTGGAGGTCGGGGCGGCCAGCTGGCAGGGGCAAAACACAGCCCACAGTCCTCAGCCCTGCCCCCTCCAAACACTGATGGACAGAGCCTCCTTTTAAGAGAATTCCCACTCAGGCCCAAGGTGGATTAAGCCAACCACTTCCACCCCACGTGCAGTCTCAGGCCAGAACACCGCCTTGTGCCCATGAGGTGTGCGATTAGAATTCACCTACCGTACCCCCCAGCCCGACAGCTGGGGAATGGACATGGTGCCCACTCTCCCGTCTTTTTCCTAACAGCCCAGATCTCCTGCTCTCCCAGTTCTGCCTAGTTTTCAAGCCACCCTTGCTTCCTCACCCACAGCCCTTTGCTGCCGCCTCCGGAAGGGTGGTGCTCCCTCTCCTACTTGTTTGGCTGGTGCTAACAGAGGCCAGACATGGGAGGCGAAGCCCAGACTAGCCCCTATGACAGGTGTAAGATGTGTGAGGTCCCTACCAGGCACTCAAGCTTCCCCAGGGACTGGAATCCGTGTCCAAATTTCATCCCAGTTTTTCTGGAGAGCCAGTGGTTGGGAGGAAGGAGCATTTTTTCCTGGCATCCAGGGTGTCAAGTCTGACTTAGTCACTAACACCAGCCCTCAGCCCTGCCCTAGACATGTGACACCATTTGACGAGTTTTATGCAGAAACCGGTTCCGGTTACATTTGAACTTTTCCAGCTCCAAGGTCAACAGAACTCAGCCAGTACACGAGGAAGTGCCTGGGACTTTTCCTGAATGTCCTTGATGCCTGTTTTCTGTGCTGTTCTAGGAAGGGAGGACAGGAGGACTCCAGGCAGCTTCTTCAAGGAGTGGCTGTTTCCCGGGTAACCTACAACAAGCCAAGCTCCAGGGCTGGGACACAACCACTGTCCCCCTATCACAACTCCCTCTGGATAACAGACTGGAGAGATGGAGGGAAGCTGAGCTGCCCAGAGGGGTCAGGAATGTGTCCCCACTGCCGCGCACGTGTGCAAGTGCCTCTGTGTGTCTCTGAGGCCTGTAAGCCTCTACGGTCTGCAGGTAACCTAGCTCCTAAAACATGGCATCTCCCACTCTCGGAAGAGGGGTGATGGGCCAACACCTCCCTTGGCGTCCCCCCTCCCCAGGCTGGGCAGGGCAGCTGGCCCCCCGAGAGCCACAAGCTCAGACCCGCCAGCCTGCCCTCGTCCCACCCCTTCTCCTCGCGGGCCCCACGGGGACGCCGGGGAAGCCCGGACGCCTGGCCCGGGTGTGTTTCCCCCCGGTGAACCCCGAGCGCAGGGCTAGCAGGAGGGCTCGCCCGCCGCCAGCCCCCAGGCCCCTGGCCCCTGGCCGTCCGCCCCGCCCGCCCTTCCTGCCGCGTCGGGAAGGAATTCCAGCCGCCCGCCTTTCTTATCACTGCTGTGGAATCCGAGGCCGGGGAGCAGCCGGGCAGGGGCGCGGGGGCCCACGGGCGGGAGGGAGGCGGGAGATAAGGCGGGCTCAGCGCCCGGGAGCCCCCCGGGCAGGGCCCTTCTCCCCGCTGGGGCCTCGCCTGGCCGGGGGCTGCGGCCCAAGGGCCCTGGGAGGGCGAGAGCGGCGGGGAGGGCCGGGGGCCGCGGGGCCGGCTCGCCCGGCGGGTCCGCCAGCGGCCGTGGTGCCCCGGCGCGCGCTCCGGGCCTTCGCGGGCCTGGCCGCGGCCTCCGCTCACCTGGCCGCGGGCCTCACGCCGAGGAGGTAGCTGCGGCTGGCCGGGCTGGGGATCCACACGGGCCCGTCGTCCTCGCCGTCGGCCTCCGGGCCGGGCCGCCCGCCCGAGCCCCAGCCGCGGCCGGGGGCCCTCCGCGACCCCATGCCGCCGGCCGCCGCTCCCGCCCGCGGCTGCCGCGCGCCCCTATTTATAGCCCCGCGGCGGCGCCGTCACCTGCCGCCGTCCCTCCCCCGGCCCGGCGCGCGCGGCCTCCCGGGCGCGGGGGGGCGCCGGCCCGCGGACCCGCCGGGCTGCCCGGGCGCCGGGCCCGGGCCCTCGTGCGTCCCTCGGCCGACGCGCGGCGTGGGTGCGGCGGCGGCGGGGCCCCGGGAGCAGGGGCGCCGTCCGCGGGCGCGCCCAGCAGGCGCCCCTCGGCCGCCCCGCGACGGCGCCCCGCTCACCTTCGCCGGGTGGAAGCGCGGGGCCGCGGCCTTGGCGAGGCTGACGGGCAGCGGCCGGGCGGCGCAGCGCTGGGAGGGCTGCGGGCACCCCCTCCGCCGGCGCCCGCAGCCCCCGGGAGGCCAGAAGCCCCGGCGTGTCGTGTCCTGTGCCCCGCTGTTACCTGGCGCAGATGCGGAGCTCCACTAGCACCTCTACAACCGTGAAACCTTCTCCGGCCCTTCAGACCCCATGTCCCAGCCCCTGAGGAGGAAACGGGCTGAGTCCCGATGCCCAGGGAAACAACTGTCGCTCAACAGTTTCTGAGGGCAAGGCCCTAACTGATTCTGAGTAGGGGGTCCGTTTGTCCATCCTTCCAACTCCTGCGTCCCTGAGAGCGGCTGGAAAGTGCCTGGGGCTGGTTGGCCACAATCACTAGGAAGTTGGAAGGAGCAAAGGAATCCAACCCTGTGTTCCGGAGGTTGTGCCCAGGTCCCCACTCCTTTGAGCAGTGGCTCCGCCTCACTCCGTGTGGTCTCGGGGGCCACCAGCCTTGCTCCGTCTGCTCTCACCCCTGGCCTCAGTTGACTAGCATCTGACTCAAGCAGGCTGTTCCCTGTTTGGTACACATCTCCGTGACCACAGAGGCGAGCATCCGACCCACACGTGCCAAAGTTCTTCGCCAAAATGGTTATAAGTGGAACTGGGAAGGAAAACCAGCCCCCCCTGGGAAAGCTGTGAACTGTGGGGGCCAACATTTCAACAGCCATGCTTCCTGCCATGTGGAGGAAGCCATTCTGCAGTCAGGAAGAAGGAAGCTGACACAAAAAAGCAAAGGCAAGGGGCACAGAGTCCTGATGGCTCTTCAGGGCCTCGCTGCAGGTGTTCCTGAGATCCAGCTTTGTCCCTGGCCTTCCTGCAGGTTGGCAGTTCGGGCATTTCCTGGAATCTGTACCAAGAAGGTTCTCCCCTTGCTCAAGCCACTTCAAATTAGGCTTCTCTTGGTGGAATCTGGGTCCTGACCAGTACAAAAGCGTTTTCTCCCAGTGAGCCCAAATCTCCCTCCTGACCACACGCACCCACTCATCCTTGTTCTGGGCTCTCTGGAGGCATCCGTGTTAAAGTCTCTTCAGCCATATACAGGACGGTCCTTCAAATATCTGAAAGCCTGCTTGAAGTTTTGGTTCATTTGTTTAAATCACATGAACACTGATGTATCAGGCTAGGGCACATGTGCTAGAAACGGGTCAGAGCACCTGTGCCTTCAAGACGCTTATAGTCAAGCAGGGGAGACAGGCATAAGCAAAACACAATGCAGGATATTTCTACATTTAATTGTACATTTAAAATGTACAATTTTAAAACTATGTATAGGGGAGCATACAAGTACAGAGAAAAGCATAGTTAGTCTTTCTGGGGATTTGGTTAGCATGGTTTTACAAGGAAGGAAGTGAAGCTCGAGAAGGATTTTGGAGTTGCTTAGATGCTCACCAAGTAGACTTGTGGGTGGGGGAAGGGTGGACACAATATTCCAGACGGAGGGCACAGTGCGTGCAAAGATACGGAGGTATGAGACAGCCTGGCACGCTTGTCATTTGAGCATAAAGGAGGTGGGCAAGCAGAGAAGAAAATTCGGCGGGGGCAGGACTCTGAAGGCCTTGCTTTGCTAACTTCCCTTTTAGGCCATTTCTCACATGACAGTGGGTATGATGCCACTGGCTACCCTAGTCACTCTCTAACTTATCAACTTCCTTTTGAAAATGTGATCCCCCAAGAGGTGAAACCAAAGCTGCCTGACTGAATGAGCCCTCGCTGGGTCTGGGCTCCACGCATTAGCAACAACTTTTTTGGCAGCTAAATTTCATTGATCCTGAGGCTGTGAGTTTTCAACATGAACCACTGTTCACCTAAGTCTTCGCCACTCTTACTTGTAAAGTCTTTTTTATCCTAAGTGCAAACCTTTATCTCTCTTTTTTTTTAAGTTAAATCTCATCTTCCTGGTCTCACATTTCCTTTCTTTTTTTGTCTAAATCTCCCCTTCCGGCTTCTTGCTTTTTACAAATTTAACAAGCTGACTTTCATGATGTCAGGGGCAGAGCTGAGTAAGGAGTGTCAAGACTTACTGATGGAGAGGTCAAGAAGGCACAATCCCTTTCCTCTCTGAGCTGACAGTCCACCGGGAGAGAGAGGACATGTAAAGTGGTGTCTAACAAGTACTAGGCTAGCAGTCTGGGGACTCGGGTTCTAATCCTGCTTTTCCACTGAGCAGCTGTGTGACCTTGGGCAGGTGGCTCACCATTCCTGAGCTTTGGCTTTCTCCTTTGTCAAGGGGAGTGAGGCATTCCCTTTCCGATCCTGTAGGTCATAGCTGTTCATTCAGCAAGCATTACTAGCAGCTAACTACCACGTGACAGGCATTATGCCCAGTGCTGAGGGTACAGAAAAGGATGTTACAGCCTCTACCCTTGAGAACCACTTAAGACTGAAAGAAAGAAAGGCAAATTAAAACAGAATTGCCATGAATCCTCTGGAAGACGTTTGTAGGAGGGGAGGTGCTGAAGGAGCACAGAGCCGCACACGCTGTAGTTCTCCATGTGGAAACAACCGTAACACGCAACAGTCAAGGTTGGCTATTGAATACCAGCACTGAGATGCACTGTAGCGTCACTGGGGCCAGGCTTCCCGGGTCATTTTGAGCTTCCTGAGGCCCCAGAGCACACTGGTGCTTGTGGTAGGAAAATCTGGGCTACTGCTAACTAACATACCCGGGGCAGCGTCGCAAAGGAAGCTACCCCGTCAGTACACACCGACCCCACTCCACCAGCCCCTCTTCACGGTCTGGGCTTGCACGTGCCTTTTCCCCTCCCCTCTCGGCTCCCTCTTCCCCAGCGCTAACGCGCTTTGAAGCGAACAATCCACTCTCCTTTGAAGCACTGGTCAAGGGCATTCATCACCCAGTACTTCTTGGCTCTCAGAACACCATTCCACACTCCCCACCATCTTCTGCCTGAACTCCTGAGCCCAGGCCACCTCATGATGAGTGCCACCGTGTAGCAGGTGCTGGTCCCCTGCTGTCATCCTGGCCTAATAACTCAGCCACACACGGGCAGGTCCACTGACCCCGTCTTCTCAAAGACTGTCAGCCCCACTTTCCTTAGGAACCAAATCAAAATGTCCACCACCTGAACTTTGTCAGAGGAATCTCTCTACCTCTAAATTGCCATCCTGTTATCCCGCCAGCTTGAGGGCAACTCCAGACTCCAACTTAACCACGACTTCACCCCCGAGTTTCTTCTTGGCTTCTTACCCACCCCCTGCCCTGTCCCATCTACACACAGGCACAGCCGCAGAGTGGACAGTCACTTCAACTACAGCTATACTTTCCTCAGGGATCTCACTTCACTTGCCCCTTGACCTTCTAATCTGCCTTGCCACTTCCTGACCTGAAATCTGGCTGTGGCTTCCTGCTCCAAGGCTGGCCAACATTTCTGGTTTCCAGCCCGAGTCTTGTCTCCGGCAGCTTGGCAACAGTTTACATTTCCCCTGACCTTTGCGTCTCCCTATGGCAATTGTTCGAAACAAGATTCCAACTTCCTCTCTGCCTTCCGCAAGTGCCACGTCAAATGCTCCTTCAAAATACAGGGGGAAGCGAGACCATCACCGGGCAAGAACTGCAGCTTTGAAGGACAGGCCCTCTGTACCACCCCTGAGCCACACTAGCATCTCCTCAGAAGGTGCCGTGCTCCCTTCCAAGGCCCTCGAACGTCTGTTCCATCACACTCCCTGCCCTCCCCTGCCCAGCACCTTCCTCACCACCTATGAGGATGAGCAAGTGTTTGCTTTTCCCTGAAATAGTTCATCCTTCCCTTCATCACCTTCACTTCTCAGGACTCAAAGGAAATCGGCTGCCTTACCGAGCAGTAACGGATTACCAGAATTGGGTTTTTAAAGTGTAAACTTCGGCCTCCTGAGCAAGGCAGAAGCAGCCCAATGCCCAGCACTGAGGCTGAGGTCAGAGCCAGGCCTGTCACTGAGGTTCAGACGCCAGTCCCTGGGTGTCACTGTGGAACGCTGAGTGGTTAGACGCGGCCCACGTCTGAGTGGAAAAGCGTGTGGGCCCAGCTGTGTGGAGGAGGAGGAAATGGGGGCGGGGATCACTCGGCTTTGCAGGAAGGGGACTGGTCGTAGTGTAGCACTGTCCCCCAGAACACGTTCATGCTGGACCACCTTAAGCTACTGGGCCATATGTTTCACTTTGCACGTGAGCTCATTGGGGCAAAGCACAACCACCACCCATGTCATTCGGGCCAGCAGACCTTCAAGATCTTATTTACTTTTTAGGCACCTCTGTGGACCCAGGCTGAGGTAGCCTTTTCCACCAGCAATATATGGCACTGGAACTGAGGTCAGAGGTCAGTAAGACCTTCCTTCTAAGGCATCATTGGCTATACTCCAGTTTCCAAAGCTCCCCAGACCAGATGCCCAGGGAAACAACTGTCGCTCAACAGTTTCTGAGGGCAAGGCCCTAACTGATTCTGAGTAGGGGGTCCGTTTGTCCATCCTTCCAACTCCTGCGTCCCTGAGAGCGGCTGGAAAGTGCCTGGGGCTGGTTGGCCACAATCACTAGGAAGTTGGAAGGAGCAAAGGAATCCAACCCTGTGTTCCGGAGGTTGTGCCCAGGTCCCCACTCCTTTGAGCAGTGGCTCCGCCTCACTCCGTGTGGTCTCGGGGGCCACCAGCCTTGCTCCGTCTGCTCTCACCCC